TGCATACATTCTTCCTAGTGGTTAATTGCTGTACAAGATGCGGACATGATATCCTATTTACAAACACCATTAGAACAAATCCAAATCATTCTACTCATTAAGAGAATGTAACTATATATCTATCCAACAAACCTTTTCAAAGCTCTCACACTTCCTGGTTCTTCAGAAAATGAATATATTATGAGAGCTATCATGAGAAGTTTCTCTCTCCTCCAAGAAGCCATAATCCCATATATCCCTACTCTTATCGCCCAGCTTACCCAGAAGCTCTTAGCTGTCAGTAAGAACCCGAACAAACCTCACTTCAATCACTACATGTTTGAAGCAATATGCTTATCCATAAGAATAACTTGCAAAACTAACCCTGCTGCTGTTGTAAATTTTGAGGAGGCTTTATTTCTGGTGTTCACTGAAATTTTACAAAATGATGTACAAGAATTTATTCCGTATGTCTTTCAAGTGATGTCCTTGCTTCTGGAAACACACAAAAATGACATCCCGTCTTCTTATATGGCCTTGTTTCCCCACCTCCTCCAGGCTGTGCTTTGGGAAAGAATAGGAAATAGTCCTGCATTAGTGAGGCTTTTTCAAGCATTCTTAGAGCACAGTTCCAACACAATAGCAAGTGCTGCAGCTGACAAAATTCCTGGCTTACTGGGTGTCTTTCAGAAGCTAATTGCGTCCAAAGCAAATGACCACCAAGGCTTTTATCTTCTGAACAGCATAATAGAGCACATGCCTCCTGAATCAGTTGACCAGTACAGAAAGCAAATTTTCCTTCTACTATTCCAAAGACTCCAGAATTCTAAAACTACCAAGTTCATCAAGAGTTTCTTAGTCTTTATTAATTTGCACTGCATAAAGTATGGAGCCCTCGCACTACAAGAAATATTTGATGGTATTCAACCAAAAATGCTTGGAATGGTTTTGGAAAAACTCATCATTCCTGAAATTCAGAAAATATCTGGAAATGTAGAGAAAAAGAACTGTGCGGTTGGCATAACAAAATTACTAACAGAATGTCCTCCAATGATGGACACTGAATACGTCAAACTGTGGACTCCTTTGTTACAGTCTCTGATTGGCTTTTTGAGTTGCACGAAGATGGCACCATTCCAGATGAAGAGCATTTTATTGACACAGAAGACACACCAGGCTATCAGACAGCCTTCTCACAGCTAGCATTTGCTGGCAAGAAAGAACATGACCCAGTGGGTCAGATGGTGAACAACCCCAAAATCCACCTGGCACAGTCACTTCACAAACTGTCTACTGCCTGTCCAGGAAGGGTTCCATCCATGGTGAGCACCAGTCTCAATGCAGAAGTGCTGCAGTTTCTCCAGGGCTATCTCCAGGCTGCCAGTGTGACACTGCTCTGACCTGCACTTT